GGGGGGGAGATTGAACCTGGTTTTGACAGGTACCCACTCCCACTTCCAGCTCAGTTTAACGATCCCCCCCCACTGCCCTCTGGGACACTTCCAAGAGGACTGTGGCCCATTCACAAAGTGCAACGTGCTTTGTGCATGCGCAGTAGGAAACCAGCATTGAAGCCCTTAGTTATGATGGTGTGCCAGTGGATTGAAGAATCGGCTCGGGGTGAGGACACCGCTGCATGCATGGACAGGTGAGCGTCCTAAGTCAGTAGCTACAGTATTTGTAGCTGCTTACTTTTCATTTTTCTTTTGGGAGGTGGCAGGGGCCAGAACTCCGCTTTAAGTGCACCAATGTTTCATAAAGGGCCCCAACCATAGCCGGCAAAAGAACAGAATAAAGGACTGCCCCTATTGAAAAACCATCCTGTAAGTCGACTTTGTTCCCTTCTTCCATTTCCTTCATTTCTATAGATACAGTAGTGCACATCCAGTTGGTCTAGGCCTAGGACAGTCGCCATTCATGCACCTTGGCAATAGTTTCTTTGTTTGGTAAGTCATGCTGTATTACTGCTCACTGCTGCACTTTAGCTGACCTTGCTACTGTTAATTTGAATCTGGAAACCAAGTGTCATCTTATGCCTAGTCCTTATTACTAATTACCCTGTATGTTAAATTGTGTTATTACAATTGTTAAACTGTTTCTATGCTTACTTCATTACCAACCATATTAGGTGGAAATATAAGTGATACTATAGGTTTAGATTTTTTATAAATAACAAATATGGTATACTTACCTGCTCTGGGCAATAGTTTTGCACAGAGCAGCCCCAATTTTCTTCTCAGGTCCCCTGCAGGCAATCTTGGCTCCTCCACCCTGCTGAGTGCCCCTCAGAGCAATCTGATTGCTCTGGGGGTACTCATGTGTGCTCGCTCCTGAGCCACCTATATGTGTCTATAGCACATACAGAGCGTGACTTGGCCTAGCCCCCCACACCCTCTTCACTGGTTGTGATTGACAGCGCACATCACTGGATCAAGATTGGGCTCAGGTAAATACTGGGGGAGCTGCATACTGAAGATTTTTTTACCTTCATGCATAGAATACCTGAAGGTAAAAAACCTTCAGCCTGTAGAACCACATTAAGTTTGCTTACTAACTTATTCAGTGCCTGTTTTCTTACATAGTACTACTACTGGGTACTAAGGATTGCTCTCAGTGATTTTCTGTGATATTGCACGCTTTGTACACTCAACCTGGTGTGTCAGAGGGGCTGAAGTTCTTAAGGAGGTCGAAGCAAAGAACAGAGGACCTATCCTGTCCAGCATCTCCTATGGGGGTAGTGCTACATATACTGTATGCAGTTATAGCTTGGTTTCTCTATATTTCGTTTTTTTGGGATGATGGAAGCGGGAGTGGGAGACCATACCATATTGATTCATCTTGTTTGTTTAATTGGAAAAATATTCAATTAAATTTACTTGATTAAAAAAAATATTATATTGCGTACCCCATACATCTCTAGACCACAAGACAAAGCAAATTGTATGCTTACTAGAAAAAAAGTCAATAGCTTAAGTAAAATAAGTTTGTATTCCTTCCCCAAACTCTCCACACTGATTTGTATTTGCATGTGTGTATGTGTAGTCTTTCTCTCCCAGCAATATGACCTCATGCCAGGGCTGCTGAATGGGGGTATGTGATGATTTTGCAGAATGGGTGTGGGCTCAGGGAGTGGTTGCTGGTGGGGGATACAGAGTGGGGGAAGAGGCTGATGTCACCCTGTCATCTCTGCTCTCTCTTTTCCCAGGGCTTGCAACCAGCCTTGTTGTAACTTATGAATAAAATGTTCATTGAGGTGTGACCACAAACGTATTGTTATTCAGCAGGAAGCAGGGATCAGAGTGAAGTCTAAGAGGAGTTCAGGGAGGGGTTGACATGAGATGTGTAAAATCAAACTGCTACTACTATGATGTGGTTAGTTAACCCATGAAATGCCTTGGGGGTCTCTGGAAATAGAATAATGCTATAATTAGAAGATTATTTTCTATATAAATCTACTTCCCCTCTGGTGCATTTTTTTTTTTTAATTTTTCACACACGTTAAAAATTTCAGCTTTGGTGGAATGCAGAGGTTCTGCAGCATAAAACTAATGGTACTTGCAAATTGTTTTGCAATACAATATTTGTGCAACTGTTTATCAATTCCATAGTTACAGGAAAATGTATTATTATATTTCAAATTTGTAATATGTTTTTATCTATTTATTTGTTTTTACTTGATCCTGTATGCTTCTGGGCTGACACTCAACAGAATGGATCATTTCCTGATGTTCTCCCACTCAACATCCTAACAGCATTTGTTGTAGTCCTGGGCTCTCAGGACAAGTAAGAAGGGCCCAGGAACCACCAAGGGAAAGGGAGTGGGGGGTAGTTATTGGATGGCACATAACAGGTCATGTTAAAGTGATTTACTAACGGTCTAGATCACTTTAACAAACATAAGCTCATGGCTTGTATAGATATGTGTAAAAGTGTGCAGCTGACAGCCATTTGGAGTGTATAACTTTCATTTTATTTCACATAATTTTTATTATAGATAGTATTATTTTCTACAGTGTTTAGTCCATGTCTTATGTAGGAATTTACAATAAAGAGTAATAAAGCATCCTCCATAAACATCCAACCTGTGTGAAGGTTAATTGAAGCCATATTACTGTCCTTGCAACAAAGTTGAGTACTTTCCAAGTAACTTTGTTACTTTCATTAAATTGTCAGGACAAGCTTTCCGAGGTCTACCCCCTTCTTCTCCCAAGCAGTACTGATACATATAAATAAATAAAAATGCAGCGCTAAAAAGTGTTAGGTAACAATGCAGATAAATGTTGGAGAGAAAAAAACTCCAATAATGTAATAGTTTTAATGATCAAAGTGAAATAACATCAGAAAATTCAATAAAAAGGTAAACACTTACATAAGGTAAATCCAATATGGCTGCCATACATGAATAGGGCCATGGGGTGAGTGAGTGTTGGGGGCAACTCCCTAACGTGTTTCATGTCATAACACTTTTTCAAAAGGCTTTGAAAAAGTGTTATGACACGAAACACGTTAGGGAGTTGCCCCCAACCATTATTCACTCACGGCATGGCCCTATTCATGTATGGCAACCATATTGGATTTACCTTTTGTGTTTACCTTTTTATTGAATTTTCTGATGTTACTTCACTTTGATCATTAAAACTAATACACTATTGGAGTTTTTTTCTCTTTTGGGCTCATTTTTTGCATCTTTGAGCCCCCTTCCCTTAAGATGCTTTTTTACATTGGATTCATACTTAAATGCGTGATCCCCCTGATGGCTGAAACCCGTATTGCTGGATGCTGTTAACCTGGTCTGATAGATGTTATCTTACACTGCTGGAGAGTGGTAACCTGTCCTGGATGGATGACACCTGGTGGCTAATCCCTACCTGACGACTTCATCCATATGCAGAGTTCACATTCCCTGAGCACTGTGGAGTAGGTCTTATATACTCCAACGCACAATCATTTGTGCTATCTGGTTTAGTGCATTATACACCCTTTCCTCACAGCCACGGCAGTCACGGAAGTTGTTATATACATATTGACTTTATCACCATTGTCACGTTGCACCTTATGAAATATACCTAGAACTGATCTTCTGGTGTTATACTAACAATATTGTTCATTTATCTGCATCATTACCTAACACTTTTTAGCGCTGCATTTTTATTTATTTATTGGTTTCTACATTGGAGGATTTGGAGGTTTTCCTCTTTATGCTGGCTGCTTTCCATCTTTTTCCGTCACCCAGCGCTCATATATTTTTATCATTCCTTTATAGTACTGATACATAGTGTACCAAATGTTTCATTTGCTTTTGTTCCAACAATATACATGTTTGGATTGTCAAAGGAGTCTAAAAATAAGTGGATTTCAACTAAATACAACCTTAACCCATCACATCGCTCCCTGATCCTCCTCCAGACACCCCTTCTAACACACACAAACACACATGCTTTTTTTTAACCAGTATTGACCATTTATCACATGCAGCTATTAGACAGTTAGACATACATCCAACTATCTTGCTAATTTTTAGCAATATATATTATACATTCAAAAAGTATTCAGACCCCCTTTGATTTTTTTTTTCAATTTCGTTATGTTATGTTTTTTATGCTATTTATGTTGACTAAATTAATATTTTTTTTTATTAATCTACTCTCAGTACCCCATAAGGACAAAGTGAAAAGAGAGCTTTGGAAATGTTTGCAAATTTATGAAAAACTGAAATAAAACATTGGCATTAAGTATTCAGATCCTTTGAAACACAATTTTAGATTTAGCTCAGGTGCCTCCCTCCCATTTCTCTTGATCGTTGCTGAGATGTTTCAACACCTTGATTGGAGTCCACTTGTAGTAAATTAAACTAATTGGACATGATCTGGAAAGACACACACCTTAACCACAAGTCTACAGGGCACTTATACCCCCTTCCTGCCCAGGCCAATTTCCAGCTTTCAGCGTTGTCACACTTTGAATAAAAATTGCGCGGTCATGCAACACTGTACCCATATGACATTTTTATCATTTTTTTTTGAGACAGATAGAGCTTTATTTTGGTGGTATTTAATCACCTCTGGGTTTTTATTTTTTCTTAAACAAACCAAAAGCCACTGAAAATTTTTGAAAAAAAAGAGTTTTTTTCTTAGTTTTTGTTATAAAATTTTGTAAATAAGTGATTTTTCTCCTGAACTGATGTGCGCTAATGAGGCTGCAGTGATGGGCACTGATAGGCTGCACTGATGGACACTGATGGGCACTGATGAGGAGGCACTGGTAGGTGGCACTGATGGGCATTGACAGGCATCACTGATGGGCACTGAAAGACAGCACTGATATATGGCACTGATAAGTGGCACTGATAGGTGACACTGACTGGCACTGATAGGTGGCACTGAGTGGCACTGTTAGGCGGCACTGACTGGCACTGATAGGCGGCACTGATTGGCATTGATAGGTGGCACTGATGGGTGACACTGAAAGGCAGCTCAAGTGGGCACTGATATGTGGCATTGATGTGCACTGGTAGGCACTGATATGTGGCATTGATGTGATGTGGCACTGGTATGTGGCATTGATGAGCACTGGACAGTGGCACTGATGAGACACTGACAGGTGGCACTGATGGGACTACACAGGATCATCAGGGACTACACTGATCATCAGGCACTGATGATCAGTGTAGATTCCCCTCCGCGGAATGCCAATTACTGGCTCTCCTCTTGAGCTGTCAGCGTGACATCTCATGAGGAGAGAAATGCCGATAACCGGCATTTCCCTGTTTACATGTGATCAGCTGTGATTGGACACAGCTGATCACATGACCGAGCCGACATCTTTGGCTCTTTCCGTGGATTGGTGATCCGCTGTGTCCGAGGGACACAAAGCACCGCTGATCGCCGCGCTACGCGCTCCCTGAGCCGTGCATGCGCGGTGGGAATGGGAGAACATCATATGACGTCCTCCCAGAACGAGAGAACCACCTTGCTCCCATCATTGGACTATATGGTGGGCGGGAGGTGGTTAAAGGCCTCACAGCTGACAATGTATACTGTATCAGAACAAAAGCCATAGGTCAAAGGTACTGCCCACAGAGCTCAGAGACAGGAAAATTACAAGGCACAGATCTGGGGAAGGCTACAACAAACTGTCTGCTGCACTGAAGGTCCCCAAGAGCACAGTGGCCTCCATAAATCTCAAACGGAAGAAGTTTGACTCTTCCAAAGCTGGTTGCCCGGCCAAACTGAACAATCAGGGGAGGAGGGTCTTAGTAAAACCTAAAGGTCACTCTAACTGAGCTCCATGGAGATGGGACAAACTTCCAGAAGGAGAACCATCACTGCAGCTCTCTACTGATCTGGGCTTTATGGCATAGTGGCTGGAGAGAAGCCTCTCCTCAGTGCAAAACACATGAAAGCCCACTGAAAGTCCTTCAGGTGCTTTTTTTGCAAATTCCGTCTAGGCCACTCTGCCATAAAGAATCAAGCAACAATCGAGAGAAATGGGAGGCACCTGAGCTAAATTTCAAGTGTTGAGGCAAAGGGCCTAAATACTTATGCCAATGTGATATTCAATTTTTTTATTTTTTTAATAAATTCACAGACATTTCTAAAATTCTGTTTTCACTTTGTCATGATGGAGTACTGAGTGTAGATTAATGGGGAAAAAAATATTAATTTAAACAACTGTGGTATCAAGTTGGAACATAATATTGAAACATCAGTATATATATATATATATATATATATATATATATATATATATATATATATATATACTGCTGTTAGAGTGTAGCGGTGTGTGCAGTAAACCCAGTCAGGCATTGGCATGGTATCTGTGTGTAATGACCAATGCAGGCACATTGGGCCTTATTGACTTTACTGACACATATTATTTGTTGGCATCGGTGGGCTCTGTTGGACTGGCGAGTCTGGAATCATTGTCCTTTTTTCCCCTATAACTAACATGACCTTGTCTAACTGGTTCACTGCTTTATTTCTGCTGGACAGGGGACTGTGGGAATTTAATACAAAGAGCAAGTTCAGGAAATTATACTACTAGCATGATGATATAAAATGTATGTAATGTTTTTTAAATAAATGGATTAATACATTTTTTTATATATCCGCCTGGAGAGTTACTTTAACTACTTGCCGACCTTTCTATAGCCAAAAGACAGCTACAACTACAACTCCATGGACATCCTCCCAGAACAGCACCTTCCTGTGTCCTTTGGACATAGATGATCACGGATCAGGGTAAAGGGCCAATCACAGCGTCCCTTTACCATGTGATCAGCTGTGTCCAATCACAGCTGATCACATGTAAACAGACTTGCCGGATATCGGCAGTCCTTTCCTCACACACTGTGTCTGTGTGAGGAAAAGAACCGGCAAGACTATCAGTACATGGTTTACTCTGATCATCAGTGTCCTGATTAACAGTGCAGCGCCATCAGTGCCAATCAGTGCAGTCTATCAGTGTTCATCAGTGCAGTCTCATCAGGGCACATCAGTGAAGAAAAATTACTTATTTGCAACATTTTATAACATGATTAAGAAAAACTTTTCTTTTTTTACATTTTCAGTCTTTTTTAATTTTTCTAGCAAAAATTTAAAAAATCCAAGTGGTGATAAAATACCACCAAAGGAAAGCTCTGTCTCAAAAATTATAAAAATTTAATATGGGCACAGTGTTGCATGACCGTGCAACTGTCATTCAAAGTGCGACAGCACTGAAAGCTGAAAATTGGCCTGGTCAGGAAGGGGGTGAAAGTGCCCAGTATTGAAGTGGGTAAACTCATTCTCCAAGCAGCCAGTGCACATTTATAACTATCAGACGATAATCCTTGCTGTCCTACAATAAGACGGCAGTGAATGATTTTCATTATTCACTCATAAAAATAAAACTATATTTTTGCTCTTCCTAACCACTTCAAGTCTGGACACTTTCACCCCCTTCCTGTCCAGGCCAATTTTCAGCTTTCAGTGCTATCACACTTTGAATGACAATTGTGCGGTCATGCAACACTGTATCCATATGAATTATTTAGCATTTTTTAGACAGATAAAACTTTATTTTGGTGGTTTTTTATGCACCACTGAGATTTTAATTTTTTTGCTATATAAATGAAAAAGTCCAAACATTTTGAAAAAAAAGTGTTTTTTCTTATATAATTTTGCAAATAAATAATCTTTTCTTCATAAATCTTGGGCAAAATGTATTAATCTATCTTTTTAGTAAAAAAAAATAACCTAAATTAGTTTATAACCAAAATTATAATTTTTCAAAAAATGTTTACATTTTTATTTTATTTTTTTATATTATTATTTATGGTTTTTTTTCTTTTTAACATACAGTCACCCTAGCAGTACAGTGTCACCATAGTGACACTGTACTACTTGTGGGGGTGATGAAGGTTTTTTTTTTCTTTTTTTACACTGATTGCTTTTACACCCATGAAGGCTGTAAAAGCAATTATTTCTCCTTCTCTCTGGCTGCATTCTTGCAGCCAATGAGAAATATTGTGAGAGCTGTGACTGGTCACAGCTTGTCACATGGTACTGTTGGAATAGCCGTGTACCATGTGACCTCTGTGATTATTCACAGATTTCACTAGTAATAAGCAATGATGTCAGGAAGTGACATCTTGCTTACTACTATTCATGTGATCACTGATTGGCCAATCAGTGATCACATGATTGGGACCTCACCCAGAGGTCCCATACACCGATTGGTTCTGCGCGCTCCCAGGGAGCGCGCACAGGCAGTGAATGCGAAGGCTGTTTATAAATGGCCACCCACTCCTGCATTGCTTCCGTCTGGCTGTTAATGTACATGGGCCAGACGGGAAGTTGTTAACCACCTCAGCCCTGGAAGGTTTTCCCCCCTTCCTGACCAGTCCATTTTTTTGCTGTTCAGGACTGCATTTTTCAATATTTTCTACTTTCTGATATAAAAAGGATCCAATAAACTCAAATTTTGTCATAAATTTAGTCTGAAATGTAATCTGCTACATGTCTTTGGTAAAAACTTGCAAAGAAGGATGTTGAGTCCATGGAAGAGTTTATTTTTTGCCACACATCTTTGGAAAATGACATAAATTTGTTTTTTTTTTACACAAAATTGTCATTTAAATTATATATTGCTCACACATGACATGGGTATATGTTTAATAACACCCCAAAAACACATTCTGCTACTTATCATGAGTATGGGGATTCCACATATGAGAGAGAATTTTTAGCAGCCTAGCCACAAAGAATCCCCCAAAATCCAATGACCATTCTTCAGACTCTCAAAGGGCATTTTTCCTCATGTCACTTCTTCATTACGACTATCACAGTTTCGGAGGCCCTAAAATGCCAAGACAGTACAACCCCCCCCCCCCCCAAATTACCCCTTTTTGCAAAGTAGATATCACCAGTTATTTGATAAGAGGCTTGGTGAATATTTTGCAGATATTTTTTGTCACAGGGTTTTGAAGAAGAAAAAAAGAATAGAAACCATATTTTCATTTTCTTTCTTCATTTTCCAAAAACTTGCGGCAACAAATGAGATCTTCAAAATACTCACCATGCCTCTTAGCATATACCTTGGCGTGTCTACTTTCCAAAAAGGGATCATTTGGGGGGTTGCTTCTAATATCCTGGCATTTCAGGACCAACATTAGAAACTTATGCCACACATCACCCACTCTTCTAACCACTTGAAGACCAAGCCTTTTCTGACACTTTATTGACATGAAATAAAAAAAGTTTTTGCTAGAAAATTACTTTGAATATCCAAAGATTATATATTTTTTTTAAGCAGGGGCCCTATAGAATAAAACGGTGGGTGTTGCAATTTTTTGGGGGGTCTAGGAGAACATGCATGCTCACACCGAGAAATAGATTTTTTTTTTTTACATCATTTTTTCCAAATGAAATACTATGTTGTATAAAACCCAAACAAAAAATGGCATTGCACCTTTGTCTGTGATTCTCTGTGGATTAATAACCAAGGACTTTCTCCCTTAAACTGGATTTAAAAAAGTGAAGGTTTGTTATATGGAAAAAAATGTTAAAGAGGAAATTATTTGTGGAAGCTGTTCCCAAAAATACAGGCAGAGGTCAAATAACTGGTTACCAGTGTTGTCTGTGGTCCCCTGCAGCTGATCTTTCCACAATAATGATTTACCAAGTTACCATTCCTTTTGCACTGTAGTTTTCTACTAAACCCACATCATAAACAAAATATCAAAAAAAATGCTGTATTACATGCTGTTCATACTCACTCAGTCACTATGAGATTCGTCTTCTGTATTCTGCAAAAAACATGGTTGGTCCTGTTGTTCTCTGTGTCCCGCTGTACAAGTCCCCACATGCAGTTAGGGATTTTGCAGAGCAGTGTTGGCAACTCTGCACATTCTCAGTTTTAAGTGAGTTTTTATGCTGAGCATTTCCTCCTCATCTGAGCAGCCCATGTGACTACAGAGTCACATATGTGGGCATATGCACAGAGGTAAATGACAGCTCACTCTGTTCCATCTCTTCTATGCCCACTAACTAGCTAAACACAACGGGGGAGGGATATTATGTAGATTGATGGAGGCTTCACCTCCCTCTATCACACAATTTTACTCCCTTAGTCCTGAATTCTTCCTAAAACATAGCAGTGCACTTCCTGATATGTCCGTTTGCCTAGGCAATCCTGTGTCTACAGCCTCACTCTTTGATGTTACTACTGTGCTGCTTGCTGGTGTGGGAACTGTAACTGAGGGTGTGCACTGTATGCATCTCCCTGTCTCTCTATCATTCTGTAGATCTGCACCTCTCCTGCTGTCTTTTGAATATTCTGCCACCAGTTGTTAGATCCCCAGTCATTGGGGGAACAGCTCTGAGCGGTCAAGATTGCTGCCTCTACACAGAGACACAGTGCACAATAAAGCTTGGTAGGTCAGTAATGTTAAAAAAGATCAGCTGCAAAGAAACCACAGGTAATATGGATGACTAAAGGTTGATCCACATAGGCTGAATATCAACCTGTCCAACAGAAGCAAGCCCCACATTTGGCTTCCCTTGAAGGGGCATGCTGGAAAACCAGCAGCCAATTGTCATCTGATCAGCGCTTGCAGCCAGTGACTGCAAGAGCTGATTAGTGTGTCCTGGCGAGGGGGTGTCGGTCCCCTTGTCAGACCACAATAGCACAGTGGGGGAGATTGCTGTTCTAACAACACTTTTTGTTAGTACAGTGATCTGTCAGGTTTTTTTTTTTTCATTCAGCCTGCTGAAAAAAAACTTATAGTGTGTACCAGGCTTACACAGTTCAGGTCCTCTTTAATTGCATGTGGCCCCATCTGCATTATTACATCTGGACTGTTGGGAACGATGGTATGGTGTTCCCATTAACACACCATACCTAAAGATAACCAAAAACATATTTTTTTATATTTTTCTATAAGCAGCTTGTATTGTTCAGAATAACCTGCACAGTTCAGTTAGGAAGACAGAGTAAACAACAATTTCTTAAAAGTAGAATTCCAGACTAAACCTAACTAGCCTTAAAAATGCTACTTCCTCCATCCCAAGTGCGTACTAACCTGTGTAAGAACGATGTACTTACCTATTTTCTGCCCTGCTCCGGTCTGGTCACGTGACCTGGCTCCCCTGGGTCAGTCAGCGGCGGCTGCAGGGGAGAGGAGGGAGCGCCAACAACAAATGGGCTATGGGAGCCTATGATTGATGTCACTGCTCCTATACATTCCCAGCCATTATCGACAGCTCTCTCCTTTCCCATGCAGCTGCCACTGGCAGACACAGGGGAAATCATATGACTGGAACAGAGCAGTCTGAAAAGGATATGTATAGTATATATATCTTTCAGGTTAGTCAGCATGAGTGTTAAGAGGGGGAAGGGAGCATTTTTAAGACTTATCAGGTTTAGCCTGGAATTCCATTTTAAGTGAGTAAACATCCAATGTCCCACCCAACCTTTAATCCTTTGTCAGGATAGACATTGTGCACATCTAGTTTACAACTGATAATGAAGATCTGCCAGCACAGTACAGACAAGGATAATTATGGTAATCATAACTCCTCAACCCTCTCCTTAATGTGCTACTAAACCCTGGACCCTGCATTCACTATATCTGGTCTCCCACAGTACACAGAACATGGAAATGCAATTATTTTAGTAAATATAAGCTTCTAAATACCTTTTCTCATCAGACGTTAGAGCAGTCTTGTGACTTCTATCAGTGTTCAGCAGAGCACATGTTAAAGCTTGTAGGAGGAGTTTTCTTTCTGCACTAGGAGAATGCAGAACCCCTGATCTGTCTGGACAGTGCTTATCGGCCCTGTGCTGAGTGCTGATCGGCCATGTGCTGATCACATGCACTCTTCCAAGAAAAAAAAAACCTCTCTAGCAATACACACCAAACTGGGCATGTGAGGAGTGACACGATATGTCTTATCAGAAGATAAGAGGGGGGCACTGGAAGAAGGGGAGGACCAGAGAAGACAGGATCAAACAGTGTTTTTACACTTACATTAACCCCTTCGGTTCCACAGTGAGTATAACAAGCATGCTTTACTGCATATACAGACTGATTTTACTGTTGTGGGTTTAGTAACACTTTACATAGAACAGGAAATCTGAGTAGGATTTATAGGTAAAGAAAAGCAAATAAAAAGCTAAGCAGCAAATTTTACATATTTTAAGTTATGCTGAGAACATATCTAAAATATATAAAGTGGGTGCTATCCCAATTTGGCTGCAAAAGTGGAAATATCCTTTAACCCTATAGGTGTTCAGGTGTCACTGGACATTGAGGTTTCAGCTTTATTGCTGTCCATTTTTGACATTCCACTCAGTCCATGCATTTCACACCTATTGTATTTTCTCCTGAGCCCCAGGCAGTAAATACCTGTAAACACAAAGCAGGATTCTCCCATGCACAGGGATGTCACTGGCGGACAGAGGTCACATGCATCAAAGATCAAATCTAATAGTCTTTATGAGGTTACTGTGAGGCCTCCTTCACGTAGGCAATCAGCAGATTCTTTGGGTTGACAGATGTATGTGAACAGTCACTGCCACTCAGCCTGTATGAAGTAATGACAGGCTGAAAGGAGCCATCGCTGTTTGCATGTATGTGCACACGCTGCTGTTAGGGACAGATGTCCAAGCCTGGACACATCTTTCTGCATCCAGCGGCTATCATCTGTCCCTGAGGCTCCGTTCACACCAATGCATTTTTTTTTGCTTTTTGCAGAAACGCACTACAATCCATTTAACATGGTTTCCTATGGAACATGTTCACATCTATGCTTTTTTGAGCTGCTGCATTTTTGGAAAGGGACAGGGACTTTTTAAAAAGCAAAAAAAACAGCATTTTTGTTACAATAGTGTTCAATGGAGAATCTGTTGAAATGCACGGTAGTGCGTTTTTGCAGCGTTTTGTGTTTCACATTTTTATTCTGCCCAGCCAAAAAAAAATTCCACTTAAAAAAAAAAAAAAAAGCCGCACAAAACGTGCCAGAAACACATGTAGAAAAACGCAAACTGAACTGTGAAAAGCACTGCAAAATGGACAAAAAGCAAACTGCATAACTGCATAGGTGTGAACGGAGCCTGACTGTCAGCTTGTCATTCATCCACACAAACAGAGTGGTCACAGCTAAAAATAAACACCTGTGATTCTGCCTGTCTGTATTAGAGCGCCCCCACTTTGGATGAATGAGCATAGGGGACATATCTGGTCAACAGCTTTGTCAGTCTGGGGGGGGGGAGGGTAGGGGGGTGCGCGTGCCCTACCCACGCCGCTATTGGCTCCTCAGCATGTCAATCACCAGGTCCCGGCCACCAATTCTCAGCTGGGACTCGGTGATCGCTGGTGGCGCTGACAGGGGAGAGGTCTGTATGTAAACAACATAGATCTCTCCCTTGTCAGCACTACAGGCTGCTTTGTATTGCTCTGCACAGCAGCTTGCTACGTTGTAAAATACACACAGCACACTATGTAAAACAGAACACAGCACACTGTTAACCCTTTGATTGCAGATGTTAACCCCTTCTTGCCCAGTGTCATTAGTGCAGTGTCAGTGCTTTTTTTATTAACTGTATTGGTCACTGGGGATGTCAGTGACAGTCAGTTCCCCCCCCCCCAGTGTCAGAATGCCCACCGCAGTCCCGCTATAAGGTGCTGATCGCCACCATTATTAGTATAGTGTTTGTACGAATCAATATCTTGATCACGAACAGAACTTAACTAGTGTCCCCTTACTGTAGTGTCTCCATAAATCCCAGTATATAGATGCTATAACTTTCATGTAAACCAATTAATTTACATGTATTGAGATTTGTTTTAGCAAAGACAAGTAGCAGAATACATTTTGGCCTAAATTTATGATGAAATTTGATTTTTTACATTTTTTGCTAGGTATGTTTTATAGCAAAAAGTCAAAAATTTTGTTTTTTTTTCTCAAAATTGGCGGTCTTCTTTTTTTTTTTTCTTATAGTGCAAAAAATTAAAAATGCAGAGGCAATCAAATACTACCGGAAGAAAGCTCAATTTTGAGAACATTTAATCTGAGTGAAGCGCTGCATGACCGCACAACAATTGTCAGTTAAAGTAACTCAGTGCCGTATGACAAAAAATGGCCTGGTCAGGAAAGGGGGTAAATCCTCTGGAGGACAATTGATTAAAGAAGAACTTTACCCTCCCTGTACATTTTTTTCTTTCCCCCCTTAGTTTGCCTGTTGGGTTGTCCTAAAAAAAAAACCCTTCACACACAAATCTTGTGTTGTCTGTTGTCATCTGGACACTTGGACCTGCACCACCATCTTCTTATGTCATTGGGGGCTGGCTGTCTCTTCCTGGTTCTTGCAGCTGACCCCTCCGATGACGCACTACGAGGCATGTGTGGTGTAATGTAGATTGCCCTGAAGCCTACTGGGAGTGTCATGTGTGGCAGAGAAAAAACACTTGACATGTGCAAACATGCCTAAACGTGTTTAGCGCTTGAGCATGCAGTCATTCCAATGGCCAAAATAAATTCATATTCTGGCCAATGGAATCCATAAATGCTCAAATGTTTGACGCGACCAAACGAGTGTTCAAGTCACAGCTTTAGGAGTATTTTTTTAAGTTGCTTTCTGTGGATGAGGCCTTCAGCTACTGGTAGGTGTTTGGCCTGTCATAGTCAATCCTGATGTTTTTTAGCGCTCGGGTCCAAGTACAGTGGTCTATCAAATCTAGGACGGGCTGAAATATACAGTGGCTGGACGTGGTGCTGAGCAGTATTTGTGATTAGGACCCTATGTATCCCAGACATTCACAAGTCCTATGTTTGGAGCATACATCCCTGAGCACATATGGCCCTAAAGGTGGGTACCGTATAGCGTCCAGCTGTGTCCAGATGCCAGGATTTCCTTCTGCCATAGATTTTGACAGGCTGCTGGCCATGGCTGGATCTAGGGGGGTGCTGGGATGAGCTATGTCCCCCCCGATTTTAGTTATGGCCCCCCACCCCCCCAAAGTAAACCCTATCCTGCTACTAGACTGCCCCACCCTGCCACTATGCTGCTTTATTCTGACACTATACCACCCTAATATGATACTTAACCACCCTCGTCTGACACTACTACCCTAGCCTGACACTACACCGTCCTTGACTGACACTATGCTCTTCTCAGGTACTGTATATGCTGTGTGAAGAGGAGGAGCTCTGCTGCCTGTGCCCAGGCTGTGTGCAGTACAGGCATGGGAGAAGGAGCTGTACCCTGCCAGAAGTGACCCGTCCTCTGCCCTGCTAGCAGTGACCCCTGTCCACTGCCGATGGTCTACTACTCCATGGGAACATCATGGAGAGAAATCATAGCGAGCGGTGTCAGTGCAATAACAATCTCCATGAGATTGGTGTGTGTATGGAGGACGGATGGAGATCTGATGATGACACCTAACCTGCACCGACTATTCATCAACTGTGCTCAGTTGATGAAGACATCTGACACAGATGTCTATGCAAATTGCACCAAAAGTAGTGCATGTACTACTTTAGAAATTGGTGTGGCTGCGACCAAGTCAGAACCACAGCGATATGACCAGTGTAAATGCAGACAATAGGGTGTGACTTGGCATGCAATTTGCATCCTGTGTGAATGAGAACTTAAAATGATTCTAAAGGTTTTTTTTAAATAACAAACATGTCTATACTTACCTGCTGTGTGCAGTGGCTTTGCACAGAGCAGCCCAGATCCTCCTCTTCTTGGGTCCCCCGCTGGCGCTCCTGTCCTTTCCCTCCTGTCAGGTGCCCCCAGAGCAAGCAGCTTGCTCTGGGGGCACCTGCTGCCCTGTGCTCATTCACACATGGAGCCGTGGCTTGACCCCTCTCCCTTTCTCTTCTCATTGGCTCACTGGCTGTGATTGACAGCAGTAGGACCCAATGAAGAGAGGAAGTCCTGGGTAGCTGAGACTCTAGTGCACATCGCTGGATTGAGAGGGGGCTTAGGTGAGTATTAGGGGGATGCTGCAAAGAGGTTTTGTACCGTCATGTATAGAATGCATGAAGGTAGAAAACATTGAGCCTTTACAACCACTTTAATACATTCTTTGCATTCATTAAGGTACAAAACCTTCAATGCTCAGTCTACCTGTTTAGAAGTGCAGTGGCTCTCTCCCTCCTCATTGGCCCAGACACAAGACTGGGAGTAGTTTGCTCCTGCTGCTGTCAATCACAGTCAGTGAGGAGGGAGCACTGTGTGTTTCAATGGACACACAGAGCAGAGCTCAGGAGCACACAAGTGCCCCCAGAGCAAGCCACTTGCTATGGGGGCACGTGGCAGGGCACCGGAGGAAGACCAAAGAAAAGGACCAGAGAAGCTCTGTGCAAAACCATTACACAGAGCAGACAAGTATGACATTTAACAAAAAAATTAAATTCCAGCTTGTACAATCACTTAGAAGAAAATGTCTTTCCATATACTGTACATTGTTACATGAAGCCAGCCACCTGTCAGGATCAATGGAAATCGTACATAGAGATCAGACCGATGTCCATCTTCATTTTAAGATTTGTATTGTAAAATTATCATATTTGTTTTCAGATTCTGAGAAATGACAGCTGGGATGTGATATATGGGAGAACAGACGGTCGGTGCT